CTAAGTGAGTCTCTCAACCTGTTAAATTTCTAATCCTAGCACAGAGTGCTCACTCGTTCGATAAAGAGTAATATTAGCTTAAAAATAAAAAACTCAGAGGATCTCTCAACCTGTTAAAGTTCTAATCCTTGCACAGAGTGCTCACTCGTTCGATGAAGAAAGTCGGAGGAACACAAAGCAAATGTAAGAACAGTATATAGCACTGAAGTTACTGTATTTTTTTAGGTGAGAAAACTTCATATGCTTGCAAGAACTAGCGCTAATGGCAGGAAGATGAATACTAATAACGAAGAGGGGAAAAAAACCGTCCGCAGCGCACTATAACATTACAAAATTGGAATAACAAATAGCAACAAACAACAAACAATACATATAATAAGCAACATACAATAAGCAAATTACTACTACAGGTAAACAATAAAATTGTAGTAAAAAAAAAAAAAAAGAAAAGGTTAAACAAATTAGTAGACAGTTAATCACGATAAATTCAAAACCAATTGATATTATGCATTCATTAATATATATAGTATATATTAACAATAATGAAAATAATAAAAATATTATTAGTTGTTATAATAAGCAAAGTAAAATTATATAAGATAAATTATTGCACATTAATTAAGAATCATTAAGATAAATTAATGCACTCTTGATAAAACCAATATTAGATTAATAAGTCAGCAGAATTTTAACAGTACCTACTATTACAGAAAGATTTATAACAACGCTGAGGATTAGATAATTGCGTTAGAATGTTGTTTGTTATTAGAGTCTGCATTTAGAATAAAATAATTCACGTTGTGAACTGAACTACTTGAATACTTCAGGGTAATTAAATTCAGAAAAGTCTACCTTTTGCAGTCCTCCCTTGAATGTGTATAATCCAGACAGTACCAATACAAGTTGGGTAGTTATCTCACATCTAGGAAATGCCGTTATCCTTTCCGCTGAAACTTGAATCCTCTCAAGGTCGAGAATATGAGGGGATTTTTACCTTGTTAGGGTATTCTTTTGAAGTCGTCTGTCTATCCATGTAAAAGTAATGACTGATAGATTTTTTCTTTCCGATTAATAATGCTATTTTTTCTCGCACTTAGAAATTTTAACACCATGCATTTTACAGCATTTTTGAATCATGGAGTAGGAATATTTCTCTTCGAAAAGGGCAAAAACACATCCTTCAATCCACAGATTGTTCATATGAGATATTTTGAAAAAAAAAAAAAAAAAGAATAAATTTAAAAGTACTATACGATATTTCTCATTTCAAATAATAAGCTGTTGCCAAGTTTTTTATTCCAAAACATTTGTTACGTTTTTAATTCTTCATCATAATCGATCTAAAAATGTAAAAGCACTCTTTGTAGTATGACTAAATAAAAATGGTTATTTTATTTATTATTTTAACCTTCAGTTATGTAAATCATTTAAGATGTAGCTATAGCTGTCTGTCTGTCTAGTAGGGTTTGCAGGACTTTAACTAATAATCCCACAGTAGAAGCAAGAACAGTTGTCGTCCTTTCAAATTCTTAAATTTTTACAAGGTATATGCTTTTAAAACAAGTTAATAGATGATAAATTACCCTCCAGTTTATAAATTTGCACCTTGACTTTTTCCTTCAGCTGATTGTATGTGGAAACTAGTAATAAGGAGAACGATTCCTTTAGGTCGTTCAGAACACAGAGCAAAAATATTGAAGTAGATAAAGTTCTAATGAGGGCTTTATGGTCGCTATTCTAACATGCGTTGCTAAGCAACCAGCTGATAAGAAGCTGGTATACGAATTTCATCTAAATGTCCCTAACTGAAACCAGTCTCAGCAAAGCAAAAATGAACTGACATCCGATCGACAATTTCGCTGAGTCAGCTGCACATTTAGGCCTGCGCAACTCTGCCTACCCTAACTGGTTAGGGCTTAAGCTCTGATTCGCATTATGTGAACAAAGCTATGATGCCCTATGACTATGATAATTGTGATAGCTATACCTCCTAATTGTGATAGCTCTATATATAAACAACTCCATAACGAGACCGTTTCATAACAATGCCCCTCCGTATTGGTGCAAGCATCTTCATGTAAATGCGTCGCTCTTCGAAAATACAGAAATTCACAAAAGTGTCAATCGTAAATGTACCCTCACATTTATGAAGATCAATTTCTAACTCTCAGAAAGAAGCATTCATATAAAGGTACGGGCACTTTTAGGCCGAGGCATCGCTAGGCTGATATTTTAGTTTGCTGGTATTAGCGAAACACACGATAATTGTATTTAACATAGCGGTACTTCAAGCCTGCTTTTAAAAGTGCATTATCGAGTTAGAAATTGACACTCATAAGTATGTGGCCATCTTTAAGCCGGGGCTTCAAACGAAGGTTTTCTATTTTTTAGAACAGTAACCAACTTGCATAAAAGTGTTGATATCTTTATTATGTGTACCGTTTTGATGGCGCTTAACCCTAACGTAATGTAAGATTACTGATGACTTTTAGTTAAAGTAAACACTCTTTAAAATAACTGTATTAAAATATTTCTCATTTATGGATTACTTTCTGTATTACCTGCAAGTTTTAGTTGAATATTTAATGCATGTATTACATTTTATTAGTTTTGTGACTTTTTTAATGTATGTGAACATTTTCATTTGTTATTTGGTATATTAAATGAAGTTAAAGTACCTGACTAAATTTGAGACATTTTATTAGTGATATTGAGGTTAAATGGCAAACTTCTCAAAACTGCACAAAACGTTAGTTTATTGTGCTGTTTGTTATCTTCAGTTCTAAATAAAAGTACTATCTGGGCAGAATTCATGGTTTCGCAAGTATATTAATGGCATAATCAGGATAGTTAAGCTAACGAATTTAAAATGTTTTGGGTATTTTGCCAGAACTGACTTCAGCCCTGTCGCACGGAAATGTTTCGTGTTATGAAATTTGTATAGGCACTGGGCCCGTCAATAGCTCAGTAAAACTCATAATTAAATAAATCACTTTACGCAAAAACTCAAAAATGGACTGTATACTAAAATTTATTAATTACACAAAAAGCCGTATAGTTAGTTCACATCTCTTGGCAGCGTCTCAGAACACACTCAAAACTCAATACAAGTTGCCGCCAGGTGACGCTATAAAAAACATCAGCGTCATTGTTTTAGAACACAAATATTACATATTTTTCATAGATGGCGCCTCTGACGTCAACATCCAGCCCAGCCTTGAATGTTACAGTCAACAATAAATTTAGAACACAAGTTATAAAATACAAACACAACACAACATTCCAATATAATAATAATGATGGTTATACAATTATACAAACTCAAACTTGATAATTAACTACAAATAAAATTTAAGTAACTGAAACTTTTTCATTAATAAAAGGCAAAGGTACAATTTTTGTCATTGGCCTTTTATAGGTTCCATTTTTATCTTTAAGTGTCACAACTCGAATAATATTATCTTGATCTGGATGGGTTTTAATAATTCGTGCTAAATGCCGCTTTAACGGAGAGTAATTATCCGAATCTTTTACTAAAACTAAATATCCTTCCTTCATTTCTACTTTTCCTTTATACCATTTAGGTCTATTTAAAAGTTTTTTTTAAATATTCAGACGACCATTTTATCCAAAAATTTTTGATTTAATTTCCGAACCATTTGCCATCTAGTTATCCAATTTATAGGAATCTCTGTAAAATTAGAATCAGGCAATGCAATTAAAGATGAACCAATAAGAAAGTGAGCAGGTGTCAATGCCTCTACATCATTTGGATCATTTGATACGGGACAAAGAGGATGAGAATTAAGTACAGATTCAGTTTGAACAATTAGAGTAAAAAATTCTTCATAAGTTAGAATTGTTTTTCCCACCACACGTTTCGAGTGATATTTAAGGTATTTCACACTAGCTTCCCATAAACCTCCAAAGTGAGGAGTAGATTGAGGATTAAAATGCCATTTAATGCCTTCAGTAGCCAAATAACCTTTGATTTCGTCCTCAGTTTTATCTTTAAATAAAGATTTTAAAATCGCTCTTAATTCTCTATGAGCACCCACAAAATTTCTGCCATTATCACTGAAAATATCTGAGGGTTTACCTCGCCTGGCAATAAAGCGTTTAAATGCTGCACTTTTTAAATCATTTACAATTTCAAAGTGCAAGGCTTTCTTAATGAAACATACAAAAATACATACAAATACTTTTCTTACCTGTTTACTTCTAGCTACAAACTTTTTTACCACAAATGGACCACAGAAATCGAGTCCTGTTCTAGCAAAAACTCTTGATATGGTCACTCTCGCAGCTGGTAAATCATCCATCTGTTGCTGCGCAGACCTAGAATTTATCTTTTTACAAATCATACAATTAAATATAATTTTTCTAATTACATTTCTTGCAGACACAATCCAAAATTTACTCCTTATAAGTGATAGGGTTGTTTCAGCACCTGCATGAAAATAAAGAGCATGAAAATGATTAATCACAATAACAGTAAAATTATGTTTAGTTGGCAGAATCATAGGATGTTTTCTCATTTCACTGTTTTTCAGTTTGCCACCTACTCTGAGTACTCCATCATGATCTAAAAATGGACACAAATTCAATAGTTTACTACTATTAGGAATAGCAGCATCCTTTTCTAAGCACTGGATTTCTGTCACAAATGAAGTCCTTTGAACATTTTTCACAATACACAATAACGCAATAGAAAGTTCACTGGTTGTCAACGTTTCGCGTGTAGCATGCAATGTATACCTGGTGTTATGCAAGAATCTCTTGTACCAAGCCACTACTCTTAGCAATTTATTGTAAGATGAACAATAACTGGTGGCATCTAGTGGCTCAAAAGTGTTAATAAATGCAAATATTTCACTTACTGCTGGTGGTTTTAAGTCGCAAAGATACAGTTCTTCGGACTCATCAGGGATATCATCTTGGCACTTAGTCATCACAGGTTGAAGAAGAAATGGGAGACCACACCACCACAGTTAACACAGTTAAAGTTTGACCGGATCAGCACCTCTTGATATGAGATCCGCAGGGTTCTGTTTAGATGAAACGTGATGCCACTGTCGCACCTCCGTTATTTCTTGAACCATCGCAACTCGATTAGCAACAAACGTTTTCATACAACAGGGCTTCTTTTTCAGCCAAGCCAAGACTATTGAAGAGTCACTCCAGAAAAATACATTATTCACTTTCAGAGCACATATTACTCGATTCATTAACTTCGCAAGCAATACAGCTGCGCATAACTCTAATCTTGGTATGGTAACTTGCTTTATAGGAGATACTTTTGATTTACTTGTTACCAGCCTTATCACCACTTCACCATATAGGAAGACGGATTTATAATAAACTACAGCTCCATAAGCTAACTCAGAGGCATCACAAAATCCGTGTAACTCGATAACAATTGCTTCTGCGACAAGAATGCATCTGTTAATTCCTAATTTACATATATGTGGTAGTTCAGAGAAAAACCTCTGTCATTCTTTGGCTTCTTTACAGGTAGAAGATCGTCCCAATTGAGCTTCAAAACCCATAGTTTCTGAAGAAATATTTTAGCTTTAGCTATCACGTGACCCAATAAACCAAGTGGGTCAAAGATTCTCGCTATTGTTGACAAAACTTGGTTTTTAGTTGTAGGGTTTATATTTATTTTAACTAACATTTATTTTAAGTTTAAACTATCTTTCCTGTCAAGCCTTACTTTCCCCTGGAATTGCCAATGCCAGAGTATGTAAATTTTAGTAGAACGCGCAAGGATTCAAATTATCAGCGGAAGTATTCTGATTTAAATAGAAAGGAAACGAGTTCGAGGTGTGATATTCTTACTTCACGAGCGCGGAGGTAGTTGGCCAGAAATTGAAGAAACCCGCCTTTCGGCCTGTGTACTTGCCTGGAAGTAGTGTTAATCGTTCAAGTGATCTTCAAGTTTGCTGAATTAGCAGCGGTATTGTAAAACGCGGTGAGTTAGTTACTTTTAGAGAGCCTCGTAGTTAGAGTCTTGTGTTTAGTTTCTTTTCAGGTTATTATTTTTATTTGACCGCCGAGTTGGCGCAGTTTGTGAGCGTCAAGAGCACGCACTTGTAATTTATTACGTTGAATAAAAAGGGACTTAAACCCTTAACAAGACTCTGTCTTTTATCCAGTTTTCACAGTCACCTCTTGGTTGCGTGCAAGTTGGGGGCGCGCAACGCTACATAGTCATTTTAGACTCATTTTCTAGTTTCACTTTAAAATTAAAACAATTTTTATCTGCTTTCCAGAAAACACCAAGGGCTGACACTTCATTCGCGCACTGAAATGTGTATTCATCATCAACGTTAACTGCAAGCTCCGGATTGTTGCTACACCATTTGTGCAGTCATAGTTGCACTTTTTAATATCTCAATTAATTCATGCTGTAGCTCGTTTGCCGAACTCAGTGAACTGGACCCTGTTAGAACATCATCCATATAAATATCACTCTGTAGAACTGCAGCTGCTAATGGAAAATTTGTGAACTCATCTACAGCAAGCTGACGTAATGTTCTCACAGCTAAAAAAGGTGCACTTACTGTGCCATAGGTGACCGTGTTCAACTCAAAAGTTTTAACTGGACCAATAATTGACTCTTTCCACAAAATTCTCTGTAGCTCTCGAAAGATTTATTTAGAGCGACCTGTTCAAAAAGAATTTTTTTTCTTTATTGCCTCGTTTGCGCAATAAATATCCGGAATTATTAAATTCCTACTATTAGCTCACACTCTCCGTATATCTTGTTCAAATTTTCAGTCGTTAATAAAATATTTTTTTTTTCATCCACTCAAGTTCAAATACAATTTTTTAAACATGTAGTGGATGATACTTTATGTTAATACAGCTTTTTCACATATTAAAAGTTTTTAAATTTTTAATTTAAAAAATTCTGTTTGTATTTTAATTCGTCAGCTTGCTGTAGATGAGTTCACAAATTTTCCATTAGCAGCTGCAGTTCTACAGAGTGATATTTACATGGATGATGTTCTAACAGGGTCCAGTTCACTGAGTTCGGCAAAAGAGCTACAACATGAATTAATTGAGATATTTCTTTGGTATTTTTTAAATTTTTCTTTGTGGACCTAAGTAGGAATTGACTTAATATTTTTTTTTATATATTACTTTTTTTTTAATTACATCAAGATGAATATCGACCAGTTTGATAGACTTGCAGATTCTATATTGTATGAAAATTAGGATTTATAAAATTAGTTTGGAATACAGTATATAAAGAGAATTAAATTACTTAATTTTCTTTATATACACCATCCACCATATAATAAAACCAACTTCATATTTTTTAAACTCCCCTACCTTGGTCTTTTGTTTTTCTTTTTATTTATTTTTGAATTTAGAATGAGGTTCAAACTTTGGACAGTTTATGATAAACTATGTGCATGATAAAATATGCAATTAAGTAAAAATAAAGAGATAATTTATAGATGATATGAATAAAGAGATGCATATATTATTACATAAGGGTTTCTATTTGCAATGCACATTTTTAAACTAAATTAAAAACAATAATAATAATGAATAAATAAGAAATGAAAACAATAATAATAATAATAGGTAAAATAAGAATATAATGATTCATCTATAATAATAAAAGCAAGTGTAATGTGTCTGTCTGTCTGTCTGACCGAGCTCTCCAGCCAAATCTATCGCACGCAGGGACCTGGAATTTTTTATACGGAAGCACAAAGGGGCTGGCCACCAGACCTCGAAGCCCGATTTTCGATTTTTTGAATTAGAAAAATTTTTAAAAAAATTATTTATAATTTATTAATCACGGTTTTTTTGACTCACTAATATTATTATTTGTTTTCAAATAACGTTCGATTGTAACAATTGATTTCTTTATTCTAGCGTTAGTTTGCTGTTTTGAAGATACATTAAATCGATTAATTACAATTCATTTCTTTTTTGTAGCTTGTGGGGGGGGGGGAAAGAGAGAGAGACAGTCTACATGTCCTACACTACTATTCCTGCGCTATTCACTTATCTGCATTTTCTAAATGCACGGGCAACGCCGGGCGGGTACACCTAGTGATTAAATATAAGAAACACGTTTCAAAATGAGAAAAGCTAACTTAAATTATATTCTATCCCCGGGTGAGCTTCGAACATCTTTCCATTTGCAAAGCAGCGCGCTGACCATTCAGCTATCTGTGATAGCAATGATTGTGAAAAATAATGTAACATGCAGAAGTCACTGCAAAGGTAATTTAATCAGACTTCAATAAATGATTGCTGTATGACACAAGTTATAACTTTCCTCCAAAACTTCATAATTGTATTTTATTGAATACTCTTTCACAGTCAACTGTTTTATTTTAGAAATTGTTATATTGCTGAAGTTGGATTTTGGTGTATTTGATATTGGGATATTTATACAGCTTTTATGATGATATAGCCAATATTTATAATAATTAAGGAAAATTTTGTAAGGCAGAAACTTTGATTTCGTAGCAACTGTAATTTATTTAGGTTACTATTGTTATAAACAGGTGAAGCATATGGATATACTGGTCGGATCATTGCTTTAGAAATATACAGTTTTCCCCTTTAATGAGAATTTAAAATTTATACCAATATATATGGTTTGAGAAATCTGAAGATGGCGTGAACATTTCTGATTATTTTATTGCTGTATACAGTTATGATATTTCTAAGCAAAAACTCATCTCTGTGTGGTTCTGACGCCATATTGAAACGGGTAAGCAAGAAGGTTTTCTGATTATGACACGTGATAAGAACTCGGTCGGCTATTGGCTGTTCGTTTACGTTACGGACGTAAAAGCTGAACAGGAGCGAACTCAGTTTTACGCCTGATGCGTCACGCGAATTTACGCCGGCGTCAAAAAAGTTGCATCAACTACGTCGCGAGCGTACTCGGGCGGATGGGCCTTAATACCTGCTTGCTTAGGGTAAATATTAGGTGGCTCCCTTATTTCTGCATAACATAACATACTCGTTTGTCTAAACGACCTCTTTCTTGAGAAAAATTATATGGCATCCTCTTCATTACTTGGTAAATTAAAGATTGTTAATGTTATATTCTCCTCACCTCCAAAAAATAATGGATATATTTTTTTAATATTTAATGCGAATCCGAAAACCTCATCAGAAATGAATAATATAAGCGAGAGCAAAAATGCGCTATACGTGGCAAGATATAAGAACACGCAGCTGGTGCTAATGTACGATCACGTGGCGAAATACAAGATCGCGCAGCTAGATTTTGGCGAAATATCTCGGTTGATTGGCGATTCAATCTCGAGGCTGCAATAGAAAAACCAAAGCAAAGAAGTGCCAAAAAGTCTCAGGCTTTTCATTTGTAGTACAAGATTTTTCACGGAAGCCTTTCAGTAAAAGAAACTGAATAACTTTAGAAAGAAAAGAGACATTTTTATTTCAAGTTTTCAGGTGCTACACATGAGAATAAAAGAAATTAAAGAATGTATTTCCCAAAATGTTTGCCATGTGAGGAAACAATGGAACAAAATCTCAGCTCAAAGTTCACTTTAGACTGTCATTTCCCGTTTAGATTGCATTACTGAAATGGTTCTATAATACTTGACACTGCTTTGTTCAGCTTTTCCATGATTTTAGTTCGATCTCTGTAGGCTTTAACACAGCTCCTTATGAAGAAGTCGAATACCGATTAAGTGAGGGCTATAAAGGCCTGAAGAAAGTCCTTCTCTAAAGCGATTACAGTGACGCGATTGTCTTACGAGGAAGGTCTTCCAACCTTGAACTCTCAGTTTTTCTCAAAAAAAAAAAATATCTATAACTCTCCTCATCTAGAGATACATAAAGAATTAACTGCTAAAAAAGAAACTTATCTTTCATTCCTTTGAATGTTGTTCGCTTTCCATTCGATGTGCTAGCAGCACTACACGATATTTTACATCAATATATGGTTTCCAAAATTATTTTGACCAGCAGTCCACACCTTAAAAAAGGTTGAGCCGATCTCCAGCAACCAAAACTTAAATTCGGGGGTAAGGGATTTCTAAAGCCAAAACAAAAATTTCGTTAGGCGCCATTTTGTAATCGTTCTTCTATAAACACAATTGTAGCTTAAAAGTGTTTATTAACAGAGCACAGAAGAAGTTACAAAAAAAATATACACCAAAACAGAACACCTAGCATTTAAAATTAACGTTCGCATCGCGGAAACATAATACTGGGGAACCTGTTCTCATCGCAACTTGAGATCAACTGCTGTAAGTTGTTCTCGTCATTCGAAAAAATAGTTTGGCTACATCCAGATAGTTCTCTTACATTCTGTTCTGTTCTCTACTGAGGGTTATAAGAGGCTCAAGAAAGTTTTCACTAGAGCGATTGTCTTACAGAGAAAATCTTCCGATCTTGAACGCTCAATTTTTCTGA